TTCTTGAGATATGTCAAGATTTTTTTTAGCATTTGAACAGGGAAAAAATCAACTGCACTTAATGGGAGCAACCTGTTGCTATTTAGAGAATAATGAGGATGAATTTGGTATAATGGCAAGATATTTCCCTAGGGAGAATGTGGTTCTGAAAACAGGTGATGACTGCCATCACAATCACATTTTGAAGTAACAGTGGAAGGAGAGAGAAGGGCTGGCTTGCAAGGTCCCTCCTGAATTAAATTGCAAAGCTACATCCCTGAAGTAGGAGAGACTGTAGAAACAAGCTGTGAAGTTAGACTGGGGTGGGAGGGAAACATCCATCCAACACTCACTTTGAGATAGTCACATTCTACTCTTTCTTCTTGCAGTTCCTCAACAAGACTGCATTCCCATCCAAAGAAGTCTTGCAAAAAAGAAAAGGGAAAGCAGCACATTGCGAAAAAGACAATGAACTAAGAAAGAAATTTGGTATTGTTAAAGATGTAAGAGTCCCTCTCAACAGGATATGTCTCCCTGAATTTATAGAGGATTTTGGTAAATCCTCAGTGCGTGAATGGAACGCAATCACCAGGACAAAGAAATGGGAAAAAAGTGCCAAGGTATGCCAAGGCTGTCAATATACAAATATAATCCATGCCTCATCTTGAAGTGGTGATGACACATCATTATCCCACTTTTCAAGATTTTTGAGTGTTTAAGCCCCCATCATAAAACATTCTCTATTTGAGAACCTTGCAATGTTTATAAAGAATTACAGTGCTGATCTTTTCTGTATCAGGGCTATTGACAGAGTCAGGAAACTGACTTTCTGTGATAAAGCTCTTAAGATTGTTTCAGCAGCCAAACTGGACATAGGGTTTCCATCAACCTATATCGTTTCAATATACCTTTATTCAAGTTCTTATTCTGCAGATAAATTAGTAATCAATAATAAATTAGCATTTCTCCCAGATCTGTCTATTATCTCTTGTTCAGCCTGTAGCATTAAACTTTCATTTCTGTCAATTGAATTTTAAACCAGTATCACCCAGCCTTTCAAATGGTCTACTTTTGTTGTCCCTGAATGGGAACATCATTGATGTACCCTCAGCATTCATGAAAATTTACTATATCTTTTTGAGGCCAGGTAAAGCAAAACTTTCCAAAGAAAGTTTTCTGCCAGAACCTGAATGAAACATGCATTTTAAGAAAATTTGTGTTGGCTGTCATTTTTTCCTAAAATTTCTTTCCCACTATACATGCCAACTCAGATTCTTAGGATAATCAAATTTTGATGGTGTTTTTCCATCTATCTACATTATAATTTCTCAACATGTGTCCTGAAAATCAAATAGGATCAAATACCTAATGAAATATTTCATATTTGGATTTATTCTACAGTTGTTTTACACAGATGCTCCCACTTACTAGGCTTCTATTGAAAACTTTCAGTTACCAACAGCGTTATTAGTAGATCTCATTAACCTTAATTGTTAGTGTGACTGCCTTTTCAGTATTTTCTGCTGCCATGTCTTTTTCTTTGCATATTACATTCAATTTGTTACATTCTGTCATTTAATGTGGACTTTGTGTTCTTTGCAGTTAGAGTTATTAAAGTAATAAAAAGATGCTATGTCTTCTTCAATTGTTCTTTATTTCTGTCTTTCTCTGGTTTGTGTTCCTTTCATGAAAATTCAGTTTATGTAAAAGTTATGACAGTGAGATTAACCTACAATTTTTGAGTCTTGCTGAACGACCCTTCAAATGCGAGTGCCCCTTGCTAAAGGAAACACCTGTGCAAAATGTTCTGTTTTATATGCAAGAGAAGATTTACAAAAAGGGTAATAGCTGTAATCAGAGTGACTAGAATATCTAGAAAAAGAGACAAGCATCATATTGCAAAGTTGAACACAAAGTAAGAACAACTGGTAAGGATATAATTAAATACATACTACCTAGACAATTCAATATGTAAAACCCAGTTATTTTTCAAAGAGTGAAGGGGTTGGCGGTGCAAAAGAAACATGGTAAGTAGGTTATTTCCAGAGGGAAAGAGGATGACTTGGAACTCTGTGGAAGGTGGAGAAAGTGGAGTGAGAATTACAATGTATCATGAATGGCACATACAAATGATGATCCAGAGATTGTAATGTAACACAAAACAAATACCTACAGTGTGTACCTGATTTGGTGTCCAGCACGGTGATTTTTTTTAGTGGCAGGTAGTGTTTCATCAAAATCCTTAGGCTCATTCCTATTTCCAAAATAGATAGGAGCTGATGGCAAATGTAGTCATGTACCTGCTGAGAGCTCTAACAAGCATGCCGGGGACAGGAGTCCTTCATTTTCATTCACATGATGATAATGCTGAAAATACTGACAAAAAAAAAAAATCATTGGAAAAAAGAAATTATTTAAGACTGTGAAGTATTTTTTCTTTTAGAGAAGTTTGAAATATTGTGCTGATTATCCTGACACCACAATTCTGAGATAATTTGTAGCCAGAAAAATCCTAGGAGCTTGCCAGGTTGGGAAAACAAGAGAGTTCAAAGCCTAATGAGTAATATGAGGGCGGGGGTAAAAGTAACATGTTAAAAAAGTAATCACATATATACAGAGGAAAGTGAACCACTGACATCTTAGGTACTATGCTCAGTATTTGGTCTTATACATTTTCAAAGGAAATGTGTACTCTGCTAAGGACTATTCTCCTGGCTTCCAGGAGTGGCAGAGCAGTGGCAGGGGACCATCATCAGGGCTTTTTATTTGCAGACAAACTCTTATGCTTCTGTTACTCTCTTCTGCCTCTCAGAAGCCTCTAGTTGAAGAGCTTTTTCCACTGTGCTGTCTCTGTTGTCAAGCTTCCACATAAGATGGTGGAAGGCTTTATAAATAAAAGACAGGATTAGAAGACAGGAGGAACAAAAGCGAAAGGAAGTTTTCTAGAATTTTTATGTTGACAACCTATGTTTCCAGGAAAGTACGTAATAAATGAAGCATTTACACTGCATAATATCAAGATTAACTCTGTGGGTTTCTGAAATCAAAATGTCATTAAATCAAAAATTTGTAGTGTGCCACAGTAACGTCTCATGTATTTGCCTGTGTTTATGAACCCAGTCCAAATATCCCCGAGGCAAAAAGCACGTGAATCACTCCCAAGACCTCCACATTTGGGGAGTTACCGATGGTTCAAAATGAAGACATGAGACATGAAGTAAGTTCTTCCACGTAAAGACCTACCTCTGATAGCCAGCCAGCTCCTAGAGCTGATGATTAGCACCCCTTGGTGCTAACTTGCTTACGTGTTGTCATTGCCACAACAGCTCAGTGCTTGGCAGCCTGCGTCTCCCACAGCACAGTGCAGGAGCTCTGCATCTGCCTCTGCCGGGCTGTCATTCCCACTGCCACTACTGGGCCCAGGGGAAATGGGTGGCCTTGGCTGCAGGAGACGAGTTTGGATTTGAAGGACCACATTGCCTCAGGATCTGTCACAAAGGGTGTTGAATACAAATTGTCACATGTGAAGGGACACGATTACTGCCTTCTGCTATGAGTTGTTGTCAGGACTTTGTCATTGTTAGAATGAGACAGTGGCTCTCACCTTGAAGTGTCATGTGAAGCCCAACTGATTACTAACCAGTTTGGGATGGTAAATCCCTCATAAGCAGAGTAGCGAGTAGCTGTCATTCAAAAGTGCTTTCATTCAAAAGGCATGTGGGAGTCATCCAAGTCTTTGAGTTCTATGGATACCCAAACTGCAGTAGAGTCAGTGATAGCTGGTATCCCTGTGTCCAGGGCCAGCTGTCTCTCACCGGCTGTGACAACAAGGGCTCCTTCTCCACTGCCACGCATCCTCAAGATCTGCTGTCTGACCTGCTGAGCATCTTGAAGGAGCCAAGGAGAACCTTTGGACCACAACTTTGGTCATGGGTTTATGTGCATTGAAGGGGGAGCTGGGAGGACAGATTCTGATGCAATTGGATATTCTCAGGAAAATTTCTTCTGTAACTCATAGCTCAAAGGCAGTTCTCCCTTTAGATCATATTTTGCAGTCAGACTGGTGGTATAAACAATCCCAATTCCACTAGAATCCCAATGCTCAGTCATCCCTCTCAGATTCCCAAAGACAGATCTGAAAGTGCAGCACGCTTACCTGAGCTTGGGATCAGGAGTGCTGGCACAGGGGGCCATTGACACTAGCCACAGTAGAAGTGTCTCTGGATAAAACCCTCTCTGGGGTCTTTCTGCATGGTGCAGGGAGAGTAGAGGGAACAAGTCTCCTCTGGATTTTCCTATGTGATGATCCTGGGACTTAGGGCACAGAATTCCAAGAGAATGAGAATTAGTAGCATCCAGGCAATTAAAAGCTACATAACAAATATTACTGATACCAGTTTACCGATTTTGTTCTGAAATTTACTTGTTCATGGAAAGTATACTAAAGACACCACTTCATCACATGTTTAACAGGCCAAACGGAACAGAGCTGTAAGCTACAGGTACAAAAATTTAACTCAATAACTTTTACAAACCAAACTAAGCACAGTACAACAGCCGACAACCAGCCTGAAGTCTGGAGGTGGAAGAGTGTTAGGTCCCGGTCCAATGTCAGGTTCTCACAAAGAGAAACTACATTAGTACCCTCACTAGCAGTGCTGGGAAGAGTGTTATTTCGGTGGAACTTGCACTATCTAATATTATACTGCATTCTCTATGGTGATGACATTTGAAACATGCACAGTGTATAATAAACAAGAATACCTGAAAGTTTGGTGAGGGAGAAGACAGACCTGAAGAGCTACCTGATAATGTGGTAGAATCTGCTGTCATCTAAAAAGAGGGTTAAGACAGGATAAACCAGGTGAAAATCTATTGCCTGTGTTACATGTGATGTAAGAGTGAAAAACCTAACCTTTGTTTCTGGCCTACATATTGCATAAATCTTTGAAATTGCCACATATATTTTGTTGACTTAAAAACCTATCTAGACTTTGACAGTGTAAATTCCCTACCTACCACAGTAGTGAGATTATTTGTTTCTGGAACTATATAACACCATCTGCTAAAATCTAGATTTCTCAATGATTTAAAGACAAACAGTGTTATGAGACATATTAGTAATTTAAATGCAGATAATTCCCTTCTGCACTTCCCATTAACATCAATCATTATAATAATCTGCCTTTATACACCTCCTTCGTATACTGAAACTACAGAAGTCAGGCACAGGCATCCTGAGTTCAGTGAGAGGATCCAAGGATCTAAGTTAGAACTGAGGACAGACAGGAAAGGGGGTTTCCTCCTAACAGGAAACTTAATCTTTTTCAGAATTGGGTTTGAATCAGATGAAATCTTTTTTATTTCCAGTCCTCCACTCAGCAGGAAGCTACTCAGACACTGGAACAACTCAGCTAAGCTGCCTCCATCCTAATACCAACAGCAAAGCCAGGAATCAGTGTCACTAAAGCCTGGGGCTTCCCAAACTCCCTGACTCCCTGGCCAGTCTCCCAGGGGACAGCTCTGGGCAGACATCTGAGAGAGGGAGGTGGGGTCACCTCAGGACTCCGGACATTCAGCAAAAGTTCACCGAGTCCAAGAAATTTTAGTCTCTAGAACATGGAAACTAACAAATAAAATTTGTTCTGTGAGAAAACTTTAAACCTAATGTCTTCATCTGGAAGCTGTGTCTAAGGCACAGAAGGAGAAAGATGGTGGATACAGAACCATGTGTCATGCAGTCACAATAGCACTTACAATGGAAGCTGAAGTTTCAATTTATGGAAACTCCTATAACATAACTCAGTATCAGGAACCTTTTTCTGGAGAGAGTGGCTGAGCTCCAGCTGGCTGAATTCCGAAGTCCCCATCCATCATAATGCCCAGAGACATCTTACTGTTTCTTTTGCCCCCTTACAAACACAAGTGTCTTCTCTATGGCAAGATGCTCCTTTTGTACAGCGTGTGGATAACACCCAGCACAAGAGGGCTCTCTAGCACTCAGCTGAAGCAAAGAAGAAGAAAATACAAATAATAGCCCCCATTACAATCATTATCAAAATATATAATTCTCTATATTCAGCTATATTATTTATGAAGATGTAAAGGATTTTTTGTTTAATTAACAGTCCAGCTGCTCTGTGTTAAGAATATTACCCTTTAGTATGAGAATGAAGTCCTGCAGATTGCTGACTTCTAACACAGAAATGAAGCCAGGGAAATTTGAAGAGATGTTATCTTGATAGAGGTACTCAGAAATATTGCAAGATGATACTTCTAGTGCTTTTGGACTTTCCAGTGTGCTCTGGAAAGAGACAACTACCCTGCTGGGCAATTATCCTAAACAAACCATGCCTGAACCTTAGGCTGCAGCACATTCATACTGGATTGTTTCAGCTTGCATTTGACATGCTGTATTGTGCAAAAATTGTTTTGTGCTGTGTCTCTTAAGACCTTCATATAAGCCTCTGTTAGGCAGACCTTTTATGGCCCTACATTCTGCTGTCAGCTGGGAGAAAA